AACCTCCAGCTAAATTGAACAGGAGTGACTTGGGACCCCAGGGGTACAGTCCCGGAAAACAAGATCCCAGGTTTTGTCCTGGGCTGGTCCTCACTTCTCGCTCGTTGGAGGTGCTGAAGCTTTTCCTGACCAGTGGAGTGAGGGATGGAGAAGGGGAACCGAGTTTTACTAAATGCCTCTTCCGGCCGGAGGCTGCACACAGACGATCTTAATCCTCACGGCAGTGGTGCCCAGCCCGGGCTGCACACTGGAGTCCCCTGGGAGTTTTAAACCCACCCCCCCCCAATGCCAAGGCCACACGACTATTTCAGTCAGAATTCGTGGGGGAAGATCTCGTGCATTGTAATTTTTTTTTTTTTTTGAGCTGAGACCACCCCCACTGATCCCTGTTTACGGTCGAGGAAAGCGAGGGCTCAGCTTTAACTGTTGACTCGACCAGCTCGGACTCCACAGCCCTTCCCACGCTGGCCGCCCTGAAGTCCAGCTTCAGCTTTTGGAGCCAGCAGCGGGTTAAGTTTGAGAGGGAGCGTCTTACGGAGACGAGCGAGCTAAACAAGTGCATTGGGACCTGGCTCTCGATTCCATTCACCCGCCCAGTGGAGGCGGGAGAGGGGCGGAAGCTCTCTGTGTTCCAGGCTCTAATGGAACTGGTCGTTACCAAGCTGCTCGCACAGCTACCGGGAAGAAACCGTGGGACCGAAAGCCCGTTGGAAATACACAGGATCAGAGAAAGGCTGTCCTCACAGCAGGATAGTTAAGGTCCGCCGTCACCTATTTCTACTAGTTTCGGGTTTGCCGAGGACACGAGCCTTGCTGTGCTTTCTGACACCAGTGCCACGTGTTTGTTTCAAGTATGAAGTTGGGAAGGAGCTGCTAAGAACAGAGTCACCTATCAGGGTGGGTGACAGAGGGATGCAGTTGCAGTCCCTGGGGTCGCTATGGCCCAGAGGAAATACCGTCCCCTCGGCAGTAAGGCCAGGGCCTTCCTAGGAGAGCACACTCTTTCCGGCCTTGGAGCCCATGCATGGGGAAGAGTGAGCGGGTATCTACCCTGTGCCTGTTTATATATATATATATATTCTCTCTATGAGTGCCGCCTATACAGTAGATTTATATTATATGAGTATATAATATATGATGTGTTAATTTGCATATATATTAATATATATAAACACAGAATCCTTCTTTGTGTGTGAGGTAAAGGCTGTTGGAGGACAGCTGCCTGGCATGGTTTTCCTGGTAGTGACTGCTTCTTCCCCAGGATTCATTTCTCCATTTTTGCGTGTCTGCCAGGAACAAAGTCCTTTTATGAAAGACCCTGGGCCTCTGATTCTTGGCTTTGGAGAGGGGCTGGGGACAAGGGCACTGGGGCAGTGGAGAGAGCTAGCCCAGGAATAGGAGCTTGGAGGTAACTGGGCATTTCTTCCCTCTAGGGTGGTTGTATTGAAGAGGTAAGATGTCATCGTGGCCACAAGCCTCAGATGCGGCCACAGAATGACGGACAGGTTCTAGTCATCTCGTTTTGGGGGCCGCCTCACATCAGAGGGTCCCAGGCTCTTTGCCCATCTCACGAGCTGCTCGACCCATGGCTAAGGACAGACGGAGGCTCCGGAGTGGTGGGTGCCCGGGGAACCGTGCCCCCGCCCCCTGTGCTGGGGTGACCAGCTCTGTTTGTGCGTTTCCTTGAGGGCAGGAAGGGGACCCAGACCGCACCCACACCCAAGCACAGAGGTGACTGCAAGGGCTTGCCTGGTGGGGTTCACTCTGCACGACGCAAGACGGCTCCCCTCAGAGACTCCTCGCCAGGGGCAGAGGGTGTGACCACAGTATTTGATACTCACCCCACGATCAACAATTTTTTGAAGTCTCAAGTTTAACTCTAAAATTCAAGCACATTTTTCATTCTACTCATAAAATAATCATTGGCTCAATAGAAAACTCCTTACGTAACTTGCCTTTTTCTCTTAAACCTAAACACTCTAGAAAGGTGAGTCATGTTCATCCTGTGGCTTCTGCCCCCGACACATCATCGTGCCCCTCTCCTTCCCAGCCTGACAAGCCTGAGCCTCAGTTGACCTTGGTGGCCTCCTCCCGCCTGGGTGCCCTTCTGCGGATGAAGGAGTCTATCCAGTGCCCCCGACCTCACCCCCCACGGTCAATGAGGGTCTTACCTATGTCGCAGTGTTTGCCAGTGTAGCCAGGGGGGCACAGGCATGTGACGTGTCCCTCTTTTTCCTGGCAGGTCCCAGCACCACAGAGCTCCTTGGCACAGGCCCTGGCAGGGGCTGCAAGCCCCAGGGGAGAGTTTGAGCATCAAGAACACAGCCACCTGGGTACAAGGGTAGCCTCTGGGACCTCGAAGTTGGGGCATGAGGTCCCTGAAGTCCACAAGGCTGGCTTTGATCAGCATGTTTCTGGGGACTCTGTCTCTCTGGGCACCTGGTCCCCAACATCTAGATGGGGAAATCTCTGGCTGTGAAAGCTCTCTGAGCACTGAGGGAGGTGCAAGGGATCCCAAAGCAAAAAACAAAAGAAAATCTGCTACGGTGCTCACGGCCCAGTGCCCGGGAGTGTGTTGAGGTGAGACAATCACAATAGCACAGGAGTCCTTTTGTACTAGGATGGGGGTGGGGACGCAGCGTCTAAAGTCAGGACGTAGCCAAAATGAGACTGTATAGTTCCTTACATTGTGCAGTTTTTAACCTTGCACAAAATAAATATTGGGACATAAATGTCCTTAGCAGATTTACTCTCTCATCTCACACTCGCTCCGGGGCAGGGTGCACGAACAGAATTTCTAGCACTAACTAGTCATCCTTCTTTCTCCCTGTGCCAAGCACAGATAGTTGAATTCACATGTAAAACCTCACGTGAGCTCAACTCCACTGTAACGATGACAATCACTAATATTTATAGGTGTGAACTGTGTGCAAAGTATGAGGCTAAGTGCCTGCTTTTTCTATATTTATATTCGGTTTCATCTTCCCTGGTATTATTCCCATTTCACAGACGAGGTTAAGAATCTTGCCCGAGGCTGCACAGCTAGTCTATGACGGGGCTGAGTTTGGAACCTTCGAGATGCACTGCCTCCTGCTATGCTATAGTAGCTGACAGTCTGAACTGCCCAAACACATTTAAGGGGGGAAAATGCCAACAATACTGCGACGGTGGACTCTGACTCACCTGTCCCTTCTGGAGAAGTTGGGACGGAAGCGTCTGTTGGGAAGGTGGCTGTTTGGGCTGTTCGGGTCTCTTCTCCTGAGTACAGGGGACTTGAGGACTCAATTTCCAGATGCGCCTCTGCAGGGCGCTGGGTCTGCGGGGTCCACTCGGACTCTGGGACGCTGGTGCTGATGGCAACATCCAGCCCCGAGGTGTGACCAGACAGGTCTCCGCTTATTTCAGTCCTGTCTCCAGAAGCCATGGGAGTGGCCGAAGGCAAGCCCGATGCCTCTGTGCCCGAGTAGGCGGTGGTGGTTGATTCTCCACTCACTTCCAGGGCAGCCGACCCCTCGCTGGGGCCTTCCTGAAAAGTCAAAGTGCTACCGCTCACCCCCAGGCCCGAGGCTCTCTCGAGATCAGCTTCGTGGAATGCCGAGGTCGTTCCACTCAGATCTGGGGACCCAGAAGCTTCTCTGCTGGCCTCGGGGGCAGCAGATGCCCCCACCCCAGCCTCAGGATAGGCAGACGTCTCGCTGCTGGATTCTGGGACTGATGATGCTTCTACCCCAGACCCAGGGAGCACTGGTCCAACTCCACTAATGTCCCCAGACACAGAGGCTTCTCCACTGGACTCAAAAAGCTGGGGTGTGTATGTCATGGGGGGCCTTTGGCCAAGTTCCTGAGAAACAGTTGGTTCAGTAACACCCTCCACGAACTCAGAAGTGAATAAAGTAACTTCTGGAAGTCCCGAGGCCTCTCCACTGGCGCCCGTGGCTGCAGAGGCTTCTGCACTTACCTCGGTGGTGCTGGCAAGGTCCCCACTAAAATACGGAGTACTTGCTGCTTCTCCACTGGGCTCTACCAGCCCAGACTGCAGCCCACTTAGGCCTGAAAATCCAGAATGGTCCCCAGACAGGTCTGGTGCCCCAGAATGGGCACCGCTAAGTTCCAAAACACCTGAAGGCCCTTCCCCTGCTTCTTGGGCCGTTGGAGCCTGGGTCACAGGTTCCACCAAAGTTCTGTCTACAAGAGAGACGGTGGGGAAACCTGACGGAAGCCCACTGCCATCGTAAGCTCCTGAGGGCAGGCTGCTCCCAGTCTCAGCTCCAGAGGATTCTCCACTGACTTCAGCTACGCCACTTGGTAGGCCACTGAATTCTGGAGCCTGGGTTGTAAACCCACTGGAATCGATTGTTCCAGAAGATTGTCCACTGACATCCGCTAACCCAGATGTGCCTGACAGATCTGCCTCTCCAGAAGGGAGGCCACTGAGTTCCACAGACCCTAAGCCTTCTTCTTCTTTAAATGTCGTAGGGGTCACTTCAACCAAACTGGTGTCCACGAACGTAACGCCAGAAGATTCACCACTGCCACTCGTGGCACCAGAAACCAGGTCAGGGATTCCAGGTGTTGTCCCGCTGAATCCTGGTGACCCTGATGGCTGCCCACTGAGATCAGGGACCCCGGATGTTTCTCCACTCAGGTCAGTTATGCCAAATGGTTGACCACTGCCATAAAGAACTCCAGAAGATTCTCCACTGACACCTGGTTGTCCGGAGGACAGTCCACTAAGCTCAGGCACTCCAGATGTTTCCCCACTGGTGTCGGGAAACCCTGATGGCTGTCCACTCATCTCAAAAATTCCAGATGTTCCCCCACTGATATCAGGAAA